ACAGTGTGTATATGTGTGAGGCACTGGGTGTCAGCTGTCCTGGGTGATTAGTGCTTTTATATTGTTCCAAGGAGCCCGGACGAGGCCCCCTCTTCACTGCACCACAGCACAGCTGCAGTCTGCCTCTCCATCTCTGCTCTTCAGCCTTCCTCTACTCACTGACACTCATGAGACGGGCTCGGACCCAAGAAAAAATGAGCCTGAAACAGAGGCGAGAACTAGAAGAAGTGGAATGGACAAAGAAATGGAGCGGGACAGAATGCAGAAGACACGGAGGGATAGGAGAGATGAAGAGACATGATCCGCTGACAGTTGACGCGAGGAGGAGACAGTAGCGACAAAGAAGAGGAAAGCAGAGGAATAGAGGGAGAAGCAGCGGACAGGGAGAAGCGGCATATTAGGAGGATTAGAGAGTCGATTCAACGAGCCGACTCTCCTGGACAGGATTTCCCCAGCTATGCCTGGGAGGCCTCCCCTGCTTTAAACACACAGGCAAGTCAGGACAGAGAGAGAGGTGAAGTAGGGGAGGAACGGAAAAGCAAAAGAGAGAGAAGAGAGAGGAGGGGGGGGGGGGATCTTTATCTTTTCATGAGTGTTTGTGAACTACTTTCGATTAGCATAATGAACTAATAAATTCTTGCCCTTCAACAGAGAATCAGTGTATCCCCTGAAGATTTGCTAGAAATTAGTGTAACAAAAATACCACTTTTCATTTTCTCTAACATCTTGTTTTGCAAATGAAAAACAAAGTTTGACGAAGAAAGCTATTCAAGCGGGACTGTGGGCATTATTCCCTGCACAGACAACTTTTTGAAAACTCTCCTTTCAATCAGACACCACAAGTTACGAGTTAAGGACATATGTCTACACGAGGAGGAAGAGGAGGGGGCAGGGGATGGTAGGCAAGGGCCAAGAGTCTGCTATGGGAAAAGTATGTCTGCTATGCATGGGTTGTTTGGTGGCGGGATTTGTGGGCCAGAGCATTGTTGCTCTCTTGACATTGAACTTGGGAGAGACAAGGGGGGTAGGGGTAACCACCCTCCTAAACATCGTAAGTGCGTATTTGTGCGAGAACACACACAGGCTAACACATTTCTCACTCACAACACCCACCCAGCCACCCCCACTTCCTTGCAACTCTGCTTTATCTTAACTGTCAACACCTGGCCTAAGCAGGAACCTCTCTCTATCTGTGAACTTTAATCTGGCCCTGCTAGGCAAACAGCGCCAGGCTCGGACAAGGAGAGCGATTAGTCTGTCACGTTGCCCTCCAGTGCTTCAGCGGGGAGAGGAGGAAACAGGGAAGGGAGAGGTCGGAAGAAAAGAGAGAGACCGGGACCGGGGAGGATATATAAAGTTAGATACAGCGTGATGAAAAAAAAGAGAAAAGGAGAAAAAGAGACACGAAGGCAGAGCAAAGGCTGAGAGGGTGGTATGGTAAGAAAAAAAAAAAAAAAGGAGACGGGGGCAAGACAGGGGGGGAGGGAGGGGGGAGGAGATGGGAGGGTTGTTTGAGATATAACACAGACACTTAGCTGACCTGACAAGGCCACAGACCAGAGATATGGTGGTGAACTTCCACCCCCATGACGGGTGACTCAGGCTGAGCCATGCAAACACACCTGGGCGCCATACATCCAAACAAATATACTCACAGTGTGCTTAAGCACAATGTAGCATGTGTTAAGTGTGTGTTGTGCTGGTTCATTCTACACTGAATAGTCTTATATATAGTGTTACATTTCCACTGACACCGTGAGTATACAGATCACAATAAAGAAAGAAGAGCACTAAATTCAGATATGTATGTAATACTTTTTATTTTTTTCAAGACAAAATGGCCAAGTGAAGAGAATAATGCAGACAACAGCTGAAAATAGAGTGGCATCTCCGTAACTGAAAAATAACAACAACAAAATCTGTAAGTCGAGCAAGAACTCATAAATGTTGGTCAATGACCTTTGGTCATCAAACAGAGAAATTAAGCCATCACAATTCATCAGGAGGGAGAAAAATGAACTGATTTGTTTTGCAGTGACTCTGTTCTGAACAGAGTGTGTGTGTGTATAGTCATAATAAATAATGTCGACCAATGCCGTAGGTCAACTTCAAGTTCAGTTCAGAACAAATAGCTTGAGAGTAAATACAGAACACAGGATGAAATCAGGCTGAAGACCTAAATGTACCTCAATACCATCAGCAATGATAACATGTACCAAACCTTTTTCTTTCTATGATTTCACTTATATTTAGAATATGCCTTGCATATGACATGTACCATATTTAAATTATAAAGCACCATGGCTCTTTTGGCAATGACAAGACAAAATTCAAGATAACAAAAAAAAAAAAAAAACCTGTAGCAAAAAAAAAAAAAATGCTTTTCAGATTGATGTTGGATTGATTGCATATGACAAAAGGTCTTTTTCAAAAACGGCTGGAATGTTATCAGGTGGTACATGTTCAAGGACAGTAAAAATTTGGCTACCGAGAAAACCCAACAATAGCTTGTATTACTGCATATAAAATGGCAGGAGAGAAAAATATATAAAACAAACTAAAAAGATATGTACAACCACCTGTTTTTACCTCATTGTGGTCACTCCAGCGGGACTGCCTGAAAAGGCCATTACATGACCTCTCACCCTTGGGGAACACCACAACATTTTATTTTTCAAAAACATACTTATTTTCAAGCATACAAATTATTCACACTATATTATCCTGCCAAATTAAGAAAATATACGGTGGCAGCTTGTTGGGATTTTTTTCACTACAGAAAAAAAGGGTACATTGAAACCTTTAAAGAGTACAGGCAAAACAGTTAAAAATACAGGCTCCAACATAAATACTATAAGTGCCTACACTAAGTGAACATTAATTTCAAATACCATTCTAAATACAGGAAAAAAGTAGACCATAAATGTGTTTTGAACATAGGAACTTACATGAGTGTGCATTTTCCTATGTGTTTTAAGTTCTCTCTATATATTTATATATCATAAATCTCTCCCCAATGCAAATTTTTGTTCAACCTGAAGACTTGTGTATAGTAAAGGCAAAAAAGATGAGAGACATGTTCATCACAATTCATTACATAGTGATCAAGTGCCGGATGTCACCAAGACAGAAAAGAGAAACAACAATAAACAATAAAAAATTTAAACAAAATTTAAATAAGGTTCTCCCCAAAAGATATCGACGTGTTACTTTAAAAAATCAACAACACAATTTACTTATCTTTTTAAATCAAATTTGTAGAATTTTTATCTTTCTGTAATGAGCAGTATATTTCTATAGTTGGTATGAAGCAGGATATTTCTATGGCGGTTCCTGCATTGATACCCCCGAGAGGCCAAACTGATGTTCGGCTCTCAGGAGGAGACATGGCTGGCGACAGTTTCTAGTTCGACTCTTTTTTTCTTTTTTTTTTCTCTTTTTTTTTCTGTTCTGTTTTTAATGCAAAGCAATGACACCACACTAATCTGTCAGCATAAGAGCAAGTTTTCCCTTGAGCGTCCAACTGTAAACTGGGAAAATTGAACAGTGCACGTAGGTAGTACCAGATCTGAAATCCGGTCCTTATTTTATACTCAACCACTGTACCTCCGATTAGAGAGACAGATACAGAATCCAAGGCAGAGTGACAAGTGCTATATCATCAACAACGACAGGGGATGGAGATAAAGATACAACTACCACAATGAGGTCTAGAGCATGTTAACGCAAAAGAACACAAAGCGTGAACATTTTACTCTTAAAAACGTGTGTGGAAGGGGTACTTTGTTGATAAAAAAAAAAAGTTCTTTTTTTTCTTTTGCTAAATTCCGATTCTTGACTTTTGATTTAAGATAATTTCCAATGTGAGTTAATAAAAAAAGTTTTCAGATTACTTAAGGGTTTCTAAGATCTAATGCAGTAAAGAGAATAAGCGCTATAAGGACATAAACATTTGAATTGTAGAGACACCTGGTCAACCCACTCCCCACCCACTACTCTGACCCTCCACCCACCCTTACCCTCATACACCCAGCCAAAACCCCCCACCCCACCACCCCACCCACACCCAAAATCTGTCTGGCTTAGAACAACTAAAACCCACTCTGTGGTCTTCAAGTGGCTGCTGGCTACACTGCCTGCCTGGCTGACACCGAAGAAACATAATTCTGTGCTACTTACAAAAAAAAAAAAAAAAACCTGCAAACTTTTAATTTTCAAAGAAAATAAACACTCTGGAAAATTAAGAGCTTTAAGTTGGTTAAAACGACTCGTCAGAGTACCCTCTCAGTACGGTACACATGTACCAGAAAATAATAAACACCTAAATCAAAAACTCTACACACCAAACTCCTACTCCTCTTTCAGCATGTAACATGCCAGTAAACAGAATCATAATCTGGAGAATAACAATATACATGAGTCAGGCAGATAAATGATTTACCAGAGATACACATCATCTTTTTTTTCTTTTTTCGTTTTTGTTTCAGCTGGTTCCTTATGCTCTGCTAAATCACAAAACGACAGGGTCATACAGGCGCTTGATGCAAGTACCTGCTTATTCCATATGTGCACAAAAATGTCCTGTAATCGTCGATAGCTGAAACTCCGAGCTTATAGCAAAAAGGAGGATTAACTAATGCAGGTAAAATATCCAAGGCACTCTTTGTTGTCATTTCACACCATATTGTTAATTTCATTGCTGTTTGTAAAAGAAATATTTAATGGCGCCAGTGCCCAGCTTTTCATAGGCAGCCCAATTTTTTTATATATATATCTCTTATCTCAATCTTGCATGGAAAATCTTTCACAAAGATCAGTTTTACGTGTGACCCTGCTTGTCTTGATGTTTTGATAATATGACACTGTCCAACTATGTTCCAACACAAAACTGTACATGATATGTAAAACAGTAGGTACTGTATGCAGCATGGGTTCTCATAACTAACGTTTTTTTTTTTTTTATGTTGAAGAAATCAAAAGTATCAACAGCAACACATGTACAACCAAACCCACCAGCCGAGGACAATTTTCTCTCTAAGTAGCCAAAACACACCGAGCATGCTGTCCAGTTACAAAAAATACAAAACGTGGAAATTATTGCACAATAGAAAGGCTCAAAAAGTTTTGCGTTTGATGCAATAGTATTGCCCCAATGATGGATCATGCATTCAGCTTTTTCCAGTCGGGGATTATAACAGGGCTGTACTGTGTACTGGTGTCTAACCCTGTTGTCCTTTCCCCTCACTTATCAGCTAGTTAGCCAGGGTCGCTTTTTAGCCAGGGGAGCTGAGAGAGAGAGAGAGCTGCCAGCACGCCGCTCTTTGCCTACTCAGTCTTAATGTCATTAGCCAGAGGGCGGTCGCTGTGCCACTTCTTCATGTGTTTCTCCAGAGTGCTGTATACACTGAAAGGCATGTGGCAGATTTCACATTTGTACACGTCCTTGCCCATCTGTCCGTGGGTCTTCATGTGGCGGGTGAGCTTTGAGCTCTGGGCGCATGCATAGCTGCACAGCTCACACTTGTAGGGCCGCTCTCCAGTGTGACTGCGTCGGTGCACTGTCAAGTTGCTGCAGTTCTTGAACACCTTTCCACAAAACTCACAAGTGTCACTCCGGCGGCCGTCCTTGGAGCTCGGCCTGCCATTCCCGCTGCCGCCGTGGGGAGTGCTGGCCCCGCTGCCAGTGCCGCTGCGTCCTGAAGCGGCCCGCTCCCCGTCCAGCTCGCCGGGTGGGGTGGAGAAGCGCAGGCTGCCGTTTTCCGACGAGTGCTCGGATGAGGAGGCGAAGGGCGATTGTCTGGAGTCCCCACTTGTAAAGTTGATGAAGGGGTCCTTGAGTTGTCGTGAGGCAGCGTAGCCGGCGAGCCACTGGGAGTAGACGTTCTCTGTGTTTGGGATGGTGGGCGTGGGGGGGTCGAGGTCCTTCTCCACCTTGATGCGCTTGGACAGGGGACTGAGGGAGCCGGGACTGACCCCTCCACCCAGCAGCTTCCGGGACAGGTTGTCAGTGGATAGAGGTCCCAGGCCATTGACGGTAGTGGTGCTTCCGTCCTCTGCCCGGTCCGACTCCATGGCCGACTCCTCATCAGCGGGTTCCCGGGACGAGCTCCGGTGGCGTGGGTGCAGGGCCTCGCTGTTCTGGTGGTGGCGAGCACCTTCTAGCCGCAGGCTGAAACGATAGTCATTCCTTCCCTCTTCTTCTTCCACTCCAGGCTTGCTCTCAATTTCCTCCTCCTCCTCCTCTTCTTCCTCCTCCTCTTCCTCCTCCTCCTCTTCCTCCTCTTCCTCTTCCTCCTCCTCCTCCTCCTCCTCTTCTCCATTTTCGGGCATCAGGCCATTGTTCTCACTCTTGAACTTGGCCACCACTGACTTGAGGGCGTCTGTGGCGCTGCCCATCAGATCGCTCGTGCCAGGTTCAGGGGAGCTGGCGGTCGAGAGGCCGTCATCTGACTTGGCGTTAAGCGCCGACGACTTGCTCTGACAGTGCGTCTTCATGTGTCGTTTCAGTTTGCTGGCCTGGGTGCAGGCGTGGTTACAGAGGTGACACTTGAATGGCTTTTCCCCCGTGTGGCTACGCCGGTGAACGATTAGGTTGCTCTGGAACTTGAAGGTCTTCCCGCAGAACTCGCAAGACTTTGCCTTGAGAGGTGTGCCCGGCTGCGCTGCATTGGATACGGCGTTGGGGGTGGAACGTGAGCCAGAAGGTGACTGAGAGGTGGAGAGGGGGGGTGTAGCTGAAAATGGAGGCTTAGAACCTGGCTGGAATGGCTGCAGCAGCCGTTGCATAGGGTTGGGCCTGTTAGGGGAGAGAGGTGGGGAAGCGCCGGTGGCGTTCCCAGCCAGCTCACGTAGACGTCTGGAGAAGTCCATGGTCGGAGGCGGTTCTAGTGGCACTGAGTTGAGCCTCATCACCCTGTCAAAGGCGCTGGGATGGTGGGTTGCCAGGGCCAAGTCATCGGGGCTGAGGTGGTGTCGCGGTGGAGGGCTGAACAGCGGCGGGGTCCGGGGGTAGCGACCCTCACGAGGTGTGGACGCTGAATCCCGACCAGACCCGGAGCCCGGCATCCTCAGGAGGCTGTAAGGACTGCCTTCAGCTAAGTGGACGGCATGGAGGGGAGGCTGGGAGGAGGCACAGTCACCACCCATCCCAGGAGCTGCAGCGACGCGGGGGGTGAGGGGGCTGCCAGGCTCGCTCTCCAGATAGATGCGGAAGCCGTGGGTGTTCTGGGCGTGCTGGAGCAGGAACCAGGCACTGGTGAAGGGCTGCTTGCACGTGGTGCAGGTGTAACTGCTGGGCTCATCTTTATCTGACAAAGAAAGGGACACGCAGAGAGAAACAAAATTTTAATCAACCTGATAAAATCATAAAAAGATTTCCTGATAACAAGAAAGTGATTAACACCATCATTGCAAACCATCATCAAATAAAATGATGCATGTGAGTTTTTAAAATATGTAAAATGTCCAATATGATCATCAACAAGTGAAAAAATGTGGCACAATTTAACAGCAAGCTCATTTCATTTGAGGGGTTCATTGTTAATTTTGATACACCCTGACGTGCGTTACATCACCGGTTCTTTCTAACCGAAACGACTGTGATCAGATAGAAGCTGTCAAAGATTTTAAAAATCTTGAAATGACATAATTGGATGAAAATAATTTTAACACTAAATAAAGCTCCCTTTTTAATTTTGTGAGTAAGAATCTTAACACGCTGCACAATGCTGTTTATAAGATGTTATTACAAAAACCTGAGATCCTGCACTATAACATATGTGAAAGATTAAATATGCATTTTTATATTTCATCAAAGCAACATTACGTTGCAGTGGGTGTACACTCAACAAAAGAATGAATAAAACAATCATGAGAGGTATCTCAGGCAGCAAATACACAATTTACACAGTTGAGAAGACAGGAATATTTCAAACAATAATTGACTTTCAATAGCACTTGCACGCTGACCTGAGATTTGCCTGACAATGCACGCCTAATCTCGTTAAACACACTCATCGCCCCTCCAATGCCTTGTTTACAGAATTAGCAAGGCTAAAGTGGGACATGTATCTGATGCTGCATATTAACGCTGAATACAAATAAGAGGTCACATGTTAATAAATTGTACCAGCGTTTATCACAAAAAACACACATTCACAGAGAAAAGAAGCAAAGGGGAAAATTGTGTATGTGTGTTTGTGTGTGGGTGGGGAGGCGTCTATGAAAATGCATTTCATGCATTACTTTTCTATTTCTGATATTTCATGCTTTATGGATTTATTTAAATCCTCTCAGGTGAATAGAAAAGGAGAAGAAGGGGAAAGCAGAAGTGAGAGATATGCAAAATAAGAAGCATCCGCCACTTGCAAATGTGCTCCCTCTTTCATCTTTTGGCTTTCTTATCCTTTCTTCTCTTTTTTCTTTTTTCACTGGAGGGCATTTTTCTGAAGTCATTTGCAGACACTGAACCCAAAAACCATGGCCATACTGTGCTGGAGAGGGAGAACAAGGGAGAGGGAAGAAGGAAGATGGGACGAGTGTGTGTGTGTGTGTGTGTGTGTGGTTGCGACTATGAGATTCCTAAGATGGTGGATGGACAGTCTTGCATGTTTTAAGCCTGCTGTGGCTCAGAGACAAAGGGGTGAAGAAGGGCCAGAAAGAGAGGATGGCCGCGGAGAGAAAAGAGGGATGTTGTGGATGAGCAATAGAGGGAGCAGATTGGTGTTTTGTGGTTCCTCTTTCTATCTCATGTGTCCACGGCCACCGTGCCCCCGCTGAACAATCTCACTTAAAGACCAGAACACGGCATAAAATGTGCACCCAATCAGACCTACACGCAAACCTTTTTCTCTTGACTGAAAAGAGTTGGAAGGGGGGTATACTGGTAAATTATGGATCATTACAATCTGCAAAAATTACAGTTAATTGCTGCCACCTGCAAGGGGCTTTGACCCACTATGGAATTTTTCCATCATAAAAAAGCCATTTGCCCATACACGTTTTTGCTCCCTCTCTCATAAGCACAAATAAAATGTGCCCATTACATTGGTTTGGCTATATGCATGTTTCCTGATTATGTGTGTTTTTATGGCTTTAAATAGAAAGCCCCATATCACTCGTAAAACGGTTGTAATAACCTGGCTTCTCCTGTTCACTTTCCTTTGATTTGCAGCCTATACACACTTCCCTCTGCTAATGTGTGAGCAGACAGTGTGTATGCATGGGGAAGAAAATGAATTTTCTGTTGTTGTGAAGGACTAGATAGAGAGATGGTGGTGGTGGTGGTGGTGGTGGTGGTGGTGGTGGTGGGGTTGTGGGGG